GACCACATGAGGGTGAGTTGGGAGCTTGGGGCCAGGCCTGGGGATGGTGTCAGTGTTATTTTGGGATGGCTCCTCATTAATTAAATGCTCATCTTGTATCAGTATTCCATCTCCTCAACAGCAGTGTCTGAAACAGCTCCTTTAACTGCTGGCAGCAAATACTGTGTGTCACCCTTTCCCCATGCTGCTGTGAGACAGGTGCTGATGGCCCTCAAATCCAATTCTTGGGTACTTGCCTCATGCCACTTTAAGTCTGTGCTTGCTATTCCCAGCCAAAAACCCTAATTTTGCTTCCTTTCCCATCCCAACTCATCAGCTGCTCCAATGGCTTTCTGTAGCAGACAGAAGCTGGCTAAATGCACTCGTGGCAGTGAGGGCAGCTCACTCTCAGTCAGAATTTGTACTGGGCCACAGCATTTCTGTGAAGCAAACATCAATAACTCACTGAGGTCAGGGCTGCTGGGTGCTGGAAGGGGCAGTGCCCTGCTGCCTGCACAGGCCAAAGGCAAGGGGGAGTGAGGAAATCAAACTGCAGTTGTCACACAGGAGCTGTGTGTTTATGTTTCAGGTTCGTTTTGGTGACTTCCCAGCCATCCCAAAGCTGATCCCACCCCTGAAGGCTTTGTTTGCAGATGACATCGTGGAGATGGAGGAGAGGAAGGAGAAGAGGGAGATGAGGCTGCTGAAGGAGACTGCCCTGGTCCTGGACAAACTCACCAGGGGGGACAGCACAGAAGCAGCATGCCAGAAAAGAAAACAAGCCAAGAACCATCAGGAATTGCCAGACAAGAAGCTTAAAACAGCCAACTGAGAGGGACAAGGCTGGGAGTGCTCTGCTCTGAGAGAGAAGCCTGGCTCTGCACAGGCCTGGGCACTGCATGGTGCTGCCAGCACCACGGGACAGGGGCTGGCCTGGGCATCTGGGTCTGCTTGCTCATCATGGATGTCCCTGGGCTGCAGCTCCAGGGGCTGTCAGCAGCACTGGTCCTTGTGGAGACAGGATCTGCCCACATAGCTCCTTCTGGGGGCTCACCAGTCTGTGGGGCAATTCTTCTTTTAACCAAAAATTCTCTGAACTGTTTTAATTTTGGGGTTTATGCTATGAGGTATTGATAATGTAACAGCAGCAGGTGTGACCTTTGCAAGAGATCAGGTGTGAGAGGCCCTGGAGGGGCTGTGGGTTTGCCAGAAGGTGAGCATGTCTCAGCTGGGTATGCCCCCCTTCACTATCAGAACCCAGGTGATAAGAGGAAAATTAACAGTAAAATGGGACCCAGTTGTAGGCGTTTAGGTTAAATTAGGGCTGAGAATACATCTGTACATTGGTGTTCCCATTTTATTTTGGTTTTCTCTGCTGGTTTTTTATTCAAAAGATCAGTTTTCCAAACCCTTTATTTAGAATCTGAATAAACCACTCGCCAACCTCCAGAAAGCTGTGTTGTGCATGGATCACTAACAAGGAGACAAATACCTGGATTTCTCTGGCAAAGGACCTTGGTTTGGCTGGCTTTGGGGTAAAGACCAAGATCTTGCTCATCAGATCTGGATCATGTTGGAGCCTCATGGCTGTGAGTGTCCTTGGGCAGGTTCTGCCTCTGGATGCAGGGGACAGGAAAGTGGCACAGCAGGCAGAGAGAGGAGAGGTCTGTGGTTTAGAGGAGTTTTTCTGAGGCTTTTTGTGGGTCAGCCTTGCTCCTTCCCTTGCCAATGCCTGTGTTTGGGAGTAGGAGGGGAGTTCTGTGCTGTTCCAATAAAGGAGTTCATTTTTGGAGGCAACTTTTAGATACCCAGGCCTTACTCAGGAGATGATGCTTGCACACAAGTCTTAAGACTTCATTTTGAGTTTATGGAAATTAAGGTGCAAACTATCAGCAAATCTTTTGTTGATGAGCAATGCTTTAGTGTGATGCTTGTCTAAAGCAGAGACTGGAGAATTGACTCATCTGTGTCCTCCAGAAAAGAACTGCTGGGCTTTAATGAATAGCAGGGGACTGGGGAAAACAAAAATGTTCCTGTCACTGGACAGGTGGAGGTAGGAGCAGGCTGAGGTGCCCAGGAGAGAGAACCTGGCTGGGGTGACACGAGCAGATCTGGGACTGCACAGGATCCGTATGCAGCTTTCCAGGGAATTTCCAAACAGAAGGATCTTCTGTTTGGAAAATAGTGAACTGCTTTTCACGGAAGAGGGTGTTAATGATGTGGAAATGCAGCGGGCACACAAGTTTCAGCTTCAGGTGGTTGCT